ATCTTTTCTCATGTCCTAATTTTGTCATGTCTTCTTTGTAAGAAGCTTGGCGAATTAGCGAGTTGGGGGGTTAAACAGTGTAAAGAAACCCTCGCACCTTCTTTGATTATACCATCTTTTAGATAGAAATATGACCCATTATCGAGATCCGGCTGCTACAAGATTGTTTGCTCATGTGGTCGATCTTATGTTGGTGAGCAATGCCGACCTATTCGACAAAGATTTGGGAAATGCGAAAATGCTCGTAAAGGAAGCTTGGTCCAACATTCAAAAAGTGGCCAAACACATGGTAGAAACTGAGCATGAGATAGAATGGTTTCAGACTATGTGGTTAAAACAAAGTTAAGAGAGGCTATTGAAATTAATAGCTTAGGGAACACGTTGAATGCGAAGAATGATCGTATAAAGTTGAATAAAATCTACTTATGCTTGATTGATAGATTGAAGTAGAGAGGGGGTGTTGAGCTACAATAAAAAAAAGGCAACTCATCTTGTCCGCTCAGTGATGTTTCTAACTTCACTCACACCCGTCCAACATGTTAGATTAAACAAATCAAATAAACCAATTGGTTAAGTCTTAATGATCCTAGATTGATGGGTTAGGACATGTGGTTCCGTAACCTGATTTACACACTCACAAACTTACATTTCTTTCTCTCAACCATACTTGCTTACGGACCTGAGCGGTCTGGGTTAAAGCTTTTTCTTGAGTCATTAAGCCTTGATGACCAGAGCCTGACATCATCTTTTTTTATCACTCTGATTTAGGGCCGGTATTGTGTATAGACTTTTACATAGACACTTGAGCAAAAGTAACAGGACAAATACGGAAGATAATTAGCCAAGCCATTCTATATCTATCTACGCCTATATATTTTCTTTTGCTTAATTGAGTCTATATAAGAGGCAAGATAGAGCCGGATAGTCTTCTTGACCTAGTGTCAGCGTGAGACTTTTGCAAGAATGAGTTAAAGCTCTGATAATGTCCATCATAGATGGACGTGAGCTAAGCCCATTTTCACCTGATACGAGGGTGCAGGTCTCGTGGACTGCGTCAACCTGAAGGTCGTATTAAAGCCAAACGGCTGCAGTTGAACAGGAATTAGCCGTCCTATTCTGGTGAGATCGACTTTCGAATATCTTCTTTATGCACTTTCATATTAAATGAAAGTCTCTTCAGCAATGTATTGAATTATTAGCGGAAACTTGTCGACTCGCTCATGAAAAGTTATCTGCATGCAAAACGGCCTCAAGTTTTTGGGTACAAACACAACTTTACCAGCACTTGACTTACTCTGGTCAACCCATGTACTCCTCTAAAGCGAACCGTTTCGCAGCATGTTAAAATTTTTCTGTTAAACGGACAATTATTGAGCCCACCAATGTAAGCCAGACAGTCAACAACCTTAATCGAATAAATGAGCGTGGCTATTTGATAGGATTACGAAAAAGAATAGATGGAAGCACAGCTGAGTAGCATGGTTGATTATCCTCGAATCTGGTTAGGGCTCTCCTAACATTAATCATGAGTGTTGCAAATATACGACACTTGCAAACGAACGTGAATACACTCTGACTCGACTTTCCACTTTGAAGAAAAAGTTTGTTAGAAGTATTTCTTGATTGATCTCACTTAAAATCGTTGGAGGATTGTCCCGGAGTGGAGACCTGTATTGTGCAAGAAATCTGTGCTCACCCCCTGTGACTCCCATAAACTCTTGTTAGCTTTTCGTTTATTCTGTGCTAGACATCAGAGAAAGAATCCATACTTCGGGAAATAGCGCACCAATATGCTAAATCAAGAGAAATGGAAAGTCGCGTCACAATAAATTACTTAGGGATTCTTCTAATCCCAGCTTTTTCTCTTGTATACGAATTCAACCACACTCGCCAACATTGCATGTTTAAAAATGAAGTGATTCTGATGAAGAAGCAACTGTTCACTCATCCATATTCACTTCAAATGGCATTCACAACCATTTCACTAATCTGCAAGCGTGTAGGGTGAACATGAAATTGCCAATTAAATCATTGATTGCTTCGTTAAGTAGTCAATGTTAGGCTGTAGGAAGTGGATAAGATTTCAGCTGGCCCTCTTTCTTGTCTTAATTCTTGTTGAAGTTTCCTACAGAGTGGTTCCACGTTCTGATGATGCCTACAATATGAAAAACGAAAACTCAGGATTTTCATCAGGTTCACACGACAGTGCTTTTAAGACTTATTCGCAGAATCTGGAATTCATAACTCAAAGAAATTCCTCCGGTTTGTGATGCAGCCAATTTTCAAATCTCTTCCGAATGAATTTTCATTTTAAAAGAAAATTTTGGTGACATAAACTATACATTTGTTGAGCCCTTTAATTTCTTTCTGATAACGATTATGCCCTGGTAATCTAAATATGTTAAATAAGTCTTCCTTTTTGACAAATCTTAATCAACTTGTTACAGAGAAATTTCATGATTATGAT